TTCATCTGTACAATGGAGATCATTATAGATGTCACTCAGTGTTGCTAAAAGCAATAAAATAATGAATGTAAAGCCTTTAATGGAGCACTTAGCATAAGGTATCATTAGTAAATGTTAGCAATTGTTATTATCACTCATAGAACACCAGCGCTGAAAAGGTCTTTAGAGATCGTCTAAATTCCCACATTATAGTTGGGGGAAGAGGAAAGGCTTGTCAGCACCTTCTGATCAGGCCTTGCAAAGAGGGTTACCAGGTCCACAGGGTCCTCCCCTTCAGGGTGCTGCCGGGATCAGCTGAGGGACTGGCTCAATTCTAGCCTGGAGCTCCCAAAGACTTAGAGCTCCACACACTCCCAATGCCTGCTCTGTTTCAGGCAAAATCATCAAGCATATTTTAGGATCAGCAAAAACCCACACTGCTCTTGGCTGAGCACTTTCCCTCTCTTGCTGAAGCCCAGGGGTATTTCCTAGGAAATTGAGTCCATCTGTTTCTGATTCATTTGTACTTAACTCATCACCAAGCTGTTTTGTAAGAGCCCTTTGATGTGAAAGCAGCCTTGTTCCATAAGCCTGGCTAAGTTTTTATTTAGTCAACAGTAGGTAAAACGACCTCCTCACACAGGCCAGAGGCACCTTCTTGATCTCCCTGTAGACTCAAAGGGACAGTGAGTCCTGACACACATCCTGTGGCCCCAGACCCTGGGCGGGGCCTGTCCAGGCAAAGCAGACCACTCCCACCTCTGACCCCGTCTATGGGATCCCAGGCTCACAGCGAGGCCCCCACTGGGTGCCAAACCCATCATTCTTCTGCACTTCCCACAGACGTCCATGTGGATTCGTGATATCCTGTGTGTTGCCTGAGTTTCTTAAACTTGATTTCAACCTCCCAGAGGATAAAAGGCCAGGTTTCCTCGACTCCCCATCACCCTGGCACCATCCTGTGTACACAATTAGAGGGTACACTGCTTCCCCAATTAAAACCTACAGAAAAGATCTCACAACTGTAAGGATCCCTGTGTTCAAAGAGCCTCTGACTGAAGTGAATTTGCCAGGTATGAAGGGGAGAACCTGTCTTCCCTTCCTCCCCTCTGATGCACAGCACTTCATTAAATCTCAAACATTCCCCCACTTCAAACACCAAGATGGAAGACTGGAAGACCCCTAGAATCCAAGGGAACTCTCCACTAAAGTCAGAGGCAACTGATAAGGTGTTCCTTGTGATCTACCTGGGGAGCCACGGGGCTTTAGGGAACAGCCCTAGCTTACGTTGATGTTGATGTCCACAACCCACCCACAAGCACCTCTGCTGAAGACAGAGTCCTGACAGGGTTCCTACATGGCTGGTCAGATTCTGTTTATTAAGGACACATTTAGGGGTCTCTCAAAGGCAGGGCATGATGGAGCTCAGTGATTCTCAAATTGGAACATGCATCAGAAACTATCCTCCAAGGGCTGGTAAAAAGAAGTCACTGGGCTGGGCATGGTGGCACATGCCTGTAGTCCCAGCTTTGGGAGGCTGAGGCAGGAGGATCACAAGTTCAAAGCCAGCCTGGACTATATAGCAAGATCCTGTGTCAAGAAAAAAAAAGTAGATAAATAAATATACAGGGCTGAGGATGTGGCTCAGTGGTAAGGTACCCCTGGATTCTCTCCCCAGTAACACACACACACACACAAACACACACGTCACTGGATCCCACAGAGTTCCCAATTCAGGACTTGGTAGCTCTAGGGTGGGGTCTAAGAATTTGCACTGCTAGCAAGTTCCCAGCAAGCTGCCGATGCTGTTGGTCAAGGGACCACATGCTGAGCCTTGGGGGTCCAGCAATTCCCTTAGTCCTGGGTGAAACTTGCAGCAGTGGTGGTGGGTAAGCTATCTGTGGTTGCTTAGTTCTAATAAGCCAAAATGGTGACAGAGGTGGTAAAGCAGGCATTTAGTGCCCAGAGAAACCACCTCACTGGCTCCTCAGTCACCCTGGGAAGGAGACACTGTTGCTCCTAACAAAGATGTAGAGGTGAAGCAGACCTTCAGGTCACACGGTGCTTGGCCCAGGAGCTGGTACATAGTGCATGGTGACCATTCTCCCCCAGCCGGTCATCCATGGACAGAGGGTGAGGTGTGCCTCATTCTACCACGTTATTAGGAAGCAGTCAGTGAGGAGACGGAAACTTCGAGGAAAAGGACAAGATCCCCCCACCCCTTCAGTTTGATTTTATGAAAGTAGTGGTATGACTAAAGCTTTTCTGAATCAAATGCACCCTTCAGATGCACAGGGTCAGATGCGAGAGCAGCAATGGACAGAGATGGCGAGGGGACAAAGCATCTGGAAACAATTTTTTAGGGCATCAGTGGGACTGAAGTTCACTTGGTTTGGCTAAAAAATCTTTTAACAAAAATAGTAGATGTTCTCAGCATTAAGTTCTTAGCGACTAAGTGATGGATCTTGGTTATATAACTAATAACTAGCCAGGGATTTAGCTTAGTGGTTCCGTTGCCTGCCTCACAAGCGAAAGGTCCCGAGTTCAATCCCCAGTACCGCCCCCCAAAAAAAACCAAAAAAAAAAAACCTAATAAAAGGAGGAGGTAAAAGGCTACTGTTCATACATCAAAAAATAAAAAAATCTCATGGAAAGTTAAATTGTGAGGTTGGGTGTGGTGATGCACACCTGTTATCCCAGCACTGGGGAGGCTGAGGCAGGAGGATCACTGTGAGCTGGAGGCCAGCCCAGGCTACATAGTGAGTTCAAGGCCATCTGAACTACAGTGAGACCCTGTCTCAAAAAGAAAAAAAAAAAAAGATGTGAAACAGAAGCCAGATGTGGCGATGCATACCTATAATCCTAGGACTTCAGGAGGCTGAGACAAGGAATCCTTAATTTGAAGACAGTGTGGACAATTTAGTTAGACCTTGTCTCAAAAAAAAAAAAAATGCTGGCACAGTGGTGCACAGCTGTAATACCAGCACTCTGGGAGGCTGAGGCAGAAGGATCACAGTGACTTAGACTGTCTCAAATTTATGGGTTTTTTTTTTTTTGGTACTGGGGATCGAACTCGGGACCTTGCGCTTTTGAGGGAGGTAGTGGAACCACGAGCTAAATCCCCAACCCGTGACTATCTCAAATTTAAAAGAAACTAACAATAATAAAATTTAAAAATGTAAAAATAAAGTAAAAAACCAGGGATGTAATTCATTGTGAAGGTCCTGGGTTCAATCCTCACTAACACACACATATGTACACACACAAAACTCAAAACTCAAAAAGCCAAAAACCCTCATTTGAACTGTACACTCACACAAAAAGGGTAAATTTAGTGCTGGGCACCTGTCATCCCAGCTACTTGAGAGGCTGAGACAGGAAGATCATGAGGTGAAGGCAAGCCTGGGCAACACAGTCATCCAAATACAAGATATCACCAAGATTATCTATTGTACTTTTCACAGAAATTCTGAAATGCCTTTGTAAAGTAAAACAAAGGTTAAAAAAAAAAAATACAATCCTGAGTTGGGTGTGGTGGTGCATTCTTGTAATTCCAGCACTCAGGAGGCTGAGGAAGGAGGATCACTGTGAGTTCGAGGCCAGTCTGAACTACTGTAGTGAGACCCTGTCTCAAAAAACTAAAAAAAAATTCAGAAAAGACCAAATATCTTTTAGGAAAGTATTATTATTATTAATCATCATCATTATTTTTTGCAGTACCAGGAATCATACCATGGGCTTTGTACTAAGCTACATGCCAGCTCTTTTTAAATTTTTATTTTTAGAGGTCACACTTAGTTGCTAAATTGCCCAGGCTGGGCTCAAACTTGCCATCCTCCTGCCACAGGCTCCCAGAGCAATGAGTTTGCTGGTGTGTGACACTGCGCCCAGCTATCTCTTTTTTCTTTTCTTTTTAAGGTGCTGGGTTTTAACCCAGGGTCTCACACTTGCTAGGCTCGAACTCTACCCCTGAGCTACACCTCAGCCAGTGAGCGCTCAGAAAGGCTTCCTCCACTCCAGCAGATGCTGTGTGTGAGGTGGCCTGCCACACTGGGGAGCAGCTGGGCATTGGGGCTGTTGGGGATTCTCCTTGTCACAGCCATTTAAAAAAAAAAATCAAAACTGAAAGGTGAATACATACACACACACACACACACACACACCCTCCTGGCATTCCTACCCCAGCCAGGACTTTTTTCCTCCTCCAGGGAAAAAAAGACAGGTATTTCTGGTTTATCTTCTCGTCTGTGCACATGTGTGTGTGTGTGTGTGTGTGAGAGAGAGAGAGAGACAGAGAGAGAGAGAGAGAGAGACAGAGAGAGAGAGAGAGACAGAGAGAGAGAGAGAGAGATTGGGGACTGAACCCAGGGATGCTCTATCACTGAGCTACATGTTTAGCCCATTTTGAGATGAGATCTTGCTAAATTGCCCAGGCTGGGCTCAAACTTGGGATCCTCTTGCCTCAGCCTCCAGAGTAGCTTGGATTACAGGATTAATGCCACCACACCAGGCCCATTACCATCTGAATGAACCAGGGCCTTTTCACTGAGCTACATCACCAGCCACCTCTCCCCCCCCTTTTTTTTTGAGAAGGTCTCACTAAGTTGCCCAGTTTGGACTCAAACTTGTGATCCTGCTGCCTCATCCTCTGGAGTGCTGGGTTTCTATATCTTATCTTTAGAACCTTTTTTATTCATCATCTAACCAACAAAGGTGGTCAGCTGGAACCAAAACAAGATAAGATAGCCCCGCTAAAGGCCTGCCTCACTACAATGCAATAGGCCAAAACCAGAAGAGTGGACAGAGTTCTTTCCAGAGAAGTCCAAACAGGTCTGTACACAGGGGTCTCAGTAATACCTGACCGGCAAAGCACCACCACTGCAAATGCAGGACATAAAGAAATGGATGGAGCCCACATACCTCATCTACACTCTGCCTCTCCCTCACCCATAAACTGGCTCTGCGTTTGGGAGGGAAGAGGTAGGTGATCAATGTGTCATTTTCCATCATGGGACCATTTGTTTACTTTGGAACTTTTATTTTCACCAGTGAATCTGAGACGCAATAGACTGTTGGAAAATCCAAAACTTCTCCAGAGAGATAGGTGGTGGTGGTTCTCTGGACAAGGAGTTTACAGGGAAGTTGTGCAGGGCTTGTTAAGTACCTAATCCTGTTGTTTTTCAGAAACCTTTTGCACCTGGGCTCCCAAGAAGCCAAATAACTGCAAGGAGTGCCCAAGGGCCTGCAGGAGGTGCCTCTGGGAGCAGTTCCTAGCGCAGGGGCTGGGGAACTGCAGTGGACAGTAGCAATCAGCCAAAGCACTCCATGCTGGCTCTGACTCGCTCCATCTCGTGCAGGAAGCTGTAGAACTGAGGCAAGGTTAATTCTGGGGAAAGAAAATTCAGCTTCAATTAGGTGTTTCCAACTTCACAGAATCACCCAAGAAAATTATTTTCCACCCAAAGATTTTTTTCCTTCAGTGCTGGAATGGAACCTGGGCCTCATGCACACTAGGCAAGTGCTCTACCACTGAGCTGCACCCCAGCCTGGATTTTTCCCTCTTTTGGCTTAGTGCATATAAGCTGCCCTTGATGAGTAATTGATCAGAATAAACAACTGACAGCCTTGAACTGAAGGTTCTCAGCTCCAAAAAGGGGCAGGGTGCGGCATTAAATGGCACAACTCATTAAGGGATTGAAAATGTTCAAGATATAGTATACATATGTACTAGTTCCCCTTAAAGAACATCACTATTCTGTATTACAAACGTGCACTAAAAAACAAAAAATTAAATAAAATGGCCTAACTCCACAGCACAGGGGATGAAAGGACATCATTCATCATGTGACGTCTACAGCAAGAGCTTCTTGCTCCTCAATCTGCTTCAATTCTAGCCATTCCCTCACCATTCCCTTTTCCAAAAATCCTCTTCACCTGTGTGATCTCCAACCTGCTGGTGCCTTAATAACATTTTTGTTGTTTTTGTTTTTGGTACTGGGGATCAAACTCAGGACCTTGAGCTTGCAAGGCAGGTGCCGGAACCACTGAGCTAAGTCCCCAGCCCCTTAATAACATTTTTTACAAGAGGATAGGCAGGGGAATGGTTCCTCCACAGCTTGGTGGTGAGCTTTTCTTGTAAGAGGTGGTTTGTACTGACCACACCAGCCCAACTGACTGAAGAGAACATGAAAGAAGTAGAAAGGCTCAAATGAAATCCAGACTCACCTATATACAAATTTTCAATTTGATTTCCTTTCTTAACCACGAACTTTAACTAATTATTTAAAAAAAGAGAAAAATTTAAATTAAAATAATGACAACTGGGCAGACAAATGCTCAAGAACCTGACCACCTAATTTAACCATCCCAGGACTCCTTGCC